GTCATTATTCCTATTAGAAAACCTGGGAAAGATCCAACCAGTCCAGGCAGTTATAGACCTATAGCTCTGACATCGCACTTGTGTAAAGTTATGGAAAGAATGATAACAGAAAGGCTGACATACTACGTTGAGAAAAATGAACTAATGACTCCTTATCAGAGTGGGTTTAGTAGAGGGCGGAGTACTTTAGACCCACTGCTGTGCCTGGAGTCTGAAGTCAGGAAAGCCCAAGCGAATAAGGAGTGTGTTGTAGCTGTATTCTTTGATGTGGAAAAAGCTTACGATATGATGTGGAAGGAAGGATTATTAATAAAACTGGACATTATGGGTCTGGGACAGGGGTGGGCAATTATTTTTTCCATGGGGCCACATGAGAAACTGAAAATATTGTGGAGGGCCGGGCCAAAAGGCTGAACTCAATTCTGCATAATATTAATTGTATTTCTTTATAAAAAGCAGTAAATAGCATTGTTTTGACAAGCTGGTAAGAGTATATGTTATAGTTAAGCAATGAAAAAGTGAGGTTGCCTTACAAAAAAATGTCATTTATTAAATCAAATTTCCCAAAACAATGGTAAACAAAATGAACGTTTTTCACCATTTGTGACTCATATTAGTGAACATTTTCAGTCACATTCACTCAAACACATTTTGAGTTTCATTTACTGTTGGAAAGAGGTTCTTAGCATTCTAAAGACATCACAATATTGTCTTTGTACTCCAAATATTAAGCAAGATACATCATATTGAACTGTCACTAAACATCACTGAACTGTGATTTTGAGAAAAAGGCTTCCAAAGAAAGTGTCCCAGTTCACTGCTAGTTGGTGCCTTTACATGCCAACATTTGTAGTCTAACCACCTCATTTGGTGTTTTTAAGTTCTCTTTTCTTGTTCAGTGAGAGAAATCTAGTCTCTGCTGGGCTTTAACGAGTGCATCAAAGTCAGGTTGAATGTCTGAGGTGGAGATGCGAAGCACAGCTGACAGATGATCATCAGTGAGAGAGGATCTATACCTGGATTTCGTAAACTTCATAATTGAAAATGTTTGTTCACATATGTAGGTCGAGCCAAAGAGAACCAACATCTTCTGAGCATGTCTCCTCATGTTTGGAAAGTTCTCCTCCTTGAGAGAAGAGTAGAAATCCAGCAGAGATCCTGACTTAAAGTGCTCTGCCAGTACTGCATCAGACTGCAGGTCGATGAGTTCCAGCTGAACATCACTGGGTGCATTATCCACACTGCAGGTAAAGGGAGAGGAAATCAGGTGCATTTCATCCTCGATTTTTCTGAGATCTTCAAATCGCCTTGAAAACTCACCATGCAATGCTCCCAACATGGATGAGTACCTGCGGAGGTGATCAGCTGATGGTGTGACTTCTTTCAGGGTTTGCATGTGAGTGAGATTGTTGCTCTCCAGTTGGCTTGAAAGAAACTGCATCTTTGTCATGAAAGCCTTCACCAGGCTGTGCATTTCATGAACAAAAAGGCCCTTGCCTTGCAGTTTGGTATTCAGTTCATTCATCAGTGCAGTCACATCAACAGCAAATGCAAAATCTGCCATCCAGTCCTCATCTGAGAGCTCTGGGAAGTCTTTGCCTTTCTTCTCACAAAACTCTCGAATCTCTGCTTTCAGGTCCCAAACTCTTTTTAGCACTTTGCCCAGGCTGAGCCATCTGATAACTGTGTGGTAGCCGATGTCACGATGCTCAGTCTCATGCTCCTCCAAAAGTGCGATAAACTGTCTGTGGTTCAAAGCTCTTGCCCTGATGAAGTTTACTATTTTAGTAACAACATCAATAACATGGTTAATTTTTAGCACTGACTTGCACAACACATGTTGGTGTATAATACAATGCAAAAATACCAGTTTCTGATCCGCGTCGATTTCAGTCACTTTATCTTGCATACGTTTCAAAAGTCCGACATTTTTTCCGGTAAGATTTGGACAACCGTCCGTTGTGACACCTGCCAGTCTGTCCCATTTCAGTCCCAGCGTGTCCATGCACTCGTTTACCTCCGTGAACAGATCGCTCCCTGTCGTCGTCCCTTTCATCGACCGCATTGCTGCCAGCTCCTCCGTAATCTTGAAGTCCGGTGTTATCCCGCGGACGAATACGAGTAACTGGGCTGTGTCGCGGACATCACAGCTCTCGTCCAAAGCCAAGGAGAAAAAGTCGTAACTTGCCACTTCACGTTGCAGCTGAAGCTCCAGATTCCCCGCAATGTCCTCGATCCTTCTAGTCACGGTTCGCCTGGACAGCGGGACTTGCTCAAATGCGGCTTTTTTTTCAGGGCATATTAGTGCTGCAGAGTCCACCAAGCACTCTTTGACAAACTCCCCCTCCGAGAACGGCTTACTGTTTTTAGCAATTTTGTGGGATATCACAAAGCTGGTCATGGTTGCTGCATCACTGGATGTGTGAAGCTTGGTAAAAAAGCCTTGCTGCTTTTGCAGCTTAGCTAGCAAAGCTTCCGATGTCCGCGCCCTTTCAGCGTCAGTCAAGTTTTTATATTTCTCCGCGTGTTTCGTCTCGTAATGTCGACTCACATTGTACTCCTTAAACACGGCGATCTGCTCCCCGCAAACTAAACACACGGTTTTACCTCCGACTTCAGTAAATAAATACTTAGCAGTCCAATTTTTGTTGAAAACCCTGCATTCAGCATCTACCTTTCTTTTTTTAGCGGACATTTTTTTGAGGGCTAAAGTCGTCTTGTGACAAGGATCCAATAATGTGCACGTCTTGATATACGTATTGCGTCATTATGCACGTGAATAAAAAACAACTTCAAAATAAAAGCAATGCAGCTTTAGTCCATGCATGAGGTAAAGTTAGAAAATATGTTTATTTTGTAATTTCCAATTAGCCTTACACGGGCCGGTCAGAGTCAACCAAAGGGCCGTATGTGGCCCGGGGGCCGTACAATGCCCAGGTCTGGTCTGGGAGGTAATGTATATAATTGGATTATGGATTTTTTGTTTGGCCGTGCCATCAGAGTCCGAGTTGGCAATTCTTATTCTCGAAGGCATGAAGTTGAAAATGGAACCCCACAGGGGAGTGTCATCAGTCCTCTTTTGTTTTCTATCATGATAAATGATATATATACACAAGTAGGATCTGATATCGGTAAGTCACTTTTTGCAGATGATGGAGCTATTTGGAAAAGGATCAGAAATGTAAATTATATTGTAGGTAAGATTCAGGAAGCCATTACGGAGATTGAAAGCTGGTCTCTGACATGGGGGTTTAGATTGTCGGTGGAAAAAACTGAAACTTTATTTTTTACGAGGAAAAGGATAGGTGAGGAGGTTAAAACTTTATGGACAAGAACTAAAGAAAGTGAAGACATTTACATTTCTGGGAATATGGTTGGACGAGAGAGTCACATGGAGTACTCACATTGATAAAGTAGTAGATAAATGTAAAAGGGTTTTAAATGTTATGAGGTGCTTGGCAGGCACTAAGTGGGGGGCTGATAAAGCTGCTTTGAGGAACGTATACACAGCCTTAATTAGATCAGCCATAGAATACGGACTAATAGTGTATGGTTCAGCTGCATACTCTTCTCTTCAAAAATTAGATAGAGTCCAGGCACAAGCACTAAGGATATGCTGTGGGGCAGTCAGATCTACACCAGGGTCGGCACTTCAGGTAGAGATCGGAGAAATACCAATTTTTTTGAGGAGAAAACAGTTAATTGTTAATTACTGGGCAAATCTACAGGGCCATAAAGATACTCACCCTACTAAACAAACTGTAAAAACAAGTTGGGAAAGTAACAAAATGAAAAAAGAAAGTTTTTGTGTTTGTGTTTCGGAATTATGTAAAGAATTCAAAGTTAAAGAATGGAATATTAGTCCGACGGTGTTGTTATCAGCTGTTCCACCATGGTTGCTACCTCAACCTATAGTAGATTTATCTTTATTGAAACGGTTACATTCAATGAAAAACAAAATTAATGTACAGGCTTATGTGAATACTGTTCTACATGAACAATATGGGCAGTTTATACAAATATTTACTGATGGATCCAAAAATCCAGAAAATGGTCAAACTAGTTGTGCATTTGATGTTCCTGAATTAAAAGTCAAAGTGGGAAAGCGGACGAGTGATCACATGGCAGTATATACAGTAGAGATGATGGCTATCTCACTAGCACTTCAGTGGGTAGAGGAAATACAGCCAATGAGAGTGGTCATTTGCTCTGACTCCAGTGCAGCTCTGGAGAGTATAAACAACTTCTCTTCAGAATGTCCTCAGGATATTTTACATGAAATTTTACACATCATGTTTAGGTTAGTTCATCTGGGAATTGTTGTTCAATTTGTGTGGGTTCCAGCGCATGTGGGTATTAGAGGGAATGAGGTAGTGGATCAACTGGCAAAATGTGGTTTGAAAGCAAACCAGATTGATATTATGGTACCCATCAGTAGAGCAGAAGTCAAATCTGTTACAAAAGTTGTTATCAAGCAACAATGGCAAAAACTATGGGACAGTAACACCAAAGGAAGACATTTATACCAGATACGAAGGGAAGTAGGAACGGGAAGCACCTGGGGGAGTAGTAGAAGAGAACAGAGCATTAACAGCAGGATAAAATTGGGTCACTCTGGATTAAACTCATCATTGCATCTGATTGGAAAACATACAAATGGCAATTGTGATGGTTGCCAACAACCAGAGACAATACATCATGTATTTTTTAGCTGCACGGATTATAACAGACAAAGACTCATTCTGAAAACTGCACTGGAACAACTCAACGTCAAGGACATGGATTTCAAGTCAATATACGAAAGTAAATCAAGAAATGAAGCAAACAAGCTGATCTTCAAATTCCTCAAAAGCACTGGTCTGAGGACAAGGATTTAGTATAAACATTTAATAAATCAACAGTAGGTGGCGATATATGCTCCAAGTGGAAGCGATTCGCCATTAAAGAAAAGAAGAAGAAGAAGAAGAAGAAGAAGAATAAGAATAAGAAGAAGAAGAAGAAGAAGAAGAAGAAGATTTCCAGGCTTCTGATTGGTCCGTCAGCCGCTGTTTGGACATGTGACACCAGAGATGGCAGCCTGTACCCGAAACAGAGATGGTGAGTTGGTTTCTTTTAAAAGTTTCAGTTGATTTAAAAATAGGTTTAGTGCTGTAAATAATATAATCAGCTGTAGATGAAACTCAGAGTCAGTCAGGGATTATGTTCATCTGAAGAATGTTCCTGTCTGCAGTTTGTAATGAAGCCGAGAGCTAGCCGGCTGTGCTAACATGCTAACTGTTAGCCTGTGTTTTTTAACGGTTATAAAAACATAGTTACAAAGTGCTTTCACATATAAAATACACAGAGAGAAAGTGAATTAAACAACAGCATCTAAACATAGGAACACAGAGTAAAAAAACATAGAACATAATGAAACAGAAATACATAGATTCATATTCTGAAAGTAGTAGTAGTAGTAGTAGTAGTAGTAGTAGTAGTAGTAGTAGTAGTAGTAGTAGTAGTAGTAGTAGTAGTAGTAGTAGTAGTAGTAGTGTTGGTGGTGGTGCTGGTGGTAGTAGTAGTAATTTAACCTAGTCTCAACTTAATCTTAACTTAGTTTTAAAGGTCCCATGTCATGGCCATTTCTACTGATCATAATTCCATTGTTGAGGTATACTAAAATACATTTATATTATGCAATTTTCCAAACTCACATTGGTTTCTCATACAGCATCTCTGTATAGTATGTGTATTCACTCTCTGTCCTAAACGTGCTCAGGCTGAGTTCCGCGGTGTCTCGCTGTCTCGCCGACCCCACACTAGCTCACAGTGTCCCGCTCCTCGCAGCAGCGAGCCTCACAACGTCCCGCCGAGTGTGTGTGTGAGCAAGTCCACGGATTGGTCCAAACGTAAGGGCTCCGCGGACGTTACGTTACGTCACTATACCCGAAATACGTCACTATACCCAAGAAGTAAACAATGGAAAAAGAGAAATGTCCAACGAGGCGTTCTGGGGCAGCATAGACAGGTCTTCTCTGTGTTAGAGTTTTACTCGCTACAGGGTGCACTTTGAGGGTTTGTGACTCTGCAGACTATGCAGAAAAAGCTACATAACACACAAGGGGTAATAACCAGAAAAGCATGACATGGGACCTTTAACTTGGTCTTAACTAAGTACTTAACAGTAATTTAACTTAGTCTTAACTGTGACTTAACTTAGTCTTCAGTACTGTAGTAAAGAGCAGTTCAGACTAAGAGGAACACTGTTTTTTAAATTCTGTATTCTGCACTGCGTCTTAAAATATAAATGAAATAACAGTTTTGAATGTTGTGATTTGCCACTAACATAATGTAACCCTCAGGTGACGACAGCATCCTGGAGCCTCTGAGTTTCCCGGAGCAGCCGCCTGATGCTCCCGGTGTCCCCGGTGAGGAGCTGCTGGTCTGTCTCTTCTGTCCCGACTCAGAGAGACAGAAAGACGTCCTCCTCAAACACCTGCTGCTGGAGCACAAGCTGGTCATCGCAGACGTCAAACTCATCGCTGACCTCCCAAAGTACGAGCTGCAGCTGTAGATCAAACTCAGGGATAGAATAGAACATATCTTTATTGTCATCATACAAAGTACAACGACATTTCTTTGGCAACTCTCACTGCAGTAACAAATAGACACAAATAAATGAATCAGAGGTGAAAGCAGAGGTCGTAGCGATGACAGCGCAACGAGATAACACTCAATGTCAATGTGCATATTTACTCAGTCTAAATACATGAAATGTACAGAAGTGTATGAATGTAGTGTGTTTCTAACTGTGTGTTTCTAAAGGCTGATAGGAACCAAAGGATGCAGTAGAATAGCCCTAAATATTTGTAAATAGTGGCTGCAGTCTTTGAGATGAAATGAATGTGGAGAATGTTCCTGTCTGCAGTTTGTGATGAAGCCAAACAGCAGAGAGCTAGCCGGCTGTGCTAGTATTTGATTGATTGATTTGTTTATTCCACACATGGCAGGTATTTGAAAACAAAACATGTACACTTCTATTATTTTCCTTTTATAGCGCATGGTGGAAAGGAGCAGGGAGAAGAAACTCTTATTTGACCTGCCTCTTCAAAACCAAAACAAAATGAACTAACCATTCAAAAGTCAAATCAAAGCAATATTCTTTCAGTCACAGCTGCTTACAAATACTGAACCATAAAGCCAGAACAGAATCAACTCCATCCTGTCTCATGATTGATCTCCATTAGATGGCAGCACTTCATATTCATATTCTGTGTCTGTGTTTTCCTCAGTAACATTTCTGCTGATATTTACAGCTGTATCTATGAAGGAACATCTCCTCAATGTGTGACTTGATCTCAAGACTATTTAAGAGTTTTTTGGTGTAAAGGTTTCATTTGTTTCACATCATGTTGTGACTTTGTAAGGATGCAGTGAAAGCATGAAGCAGCTCCTACAGCACTGTACTTTATCTCAGAACATTTCAGACTTATTTCTGCAATCTTTTATAAATTAATCTCAGAGAAGTCTTTCAAATGTATTTTTTGTAAATACACAAAATGTCTTGTACATTTGTGACTTTATTTAACCTGTTAAGCCCCAAGCATGTTTTTCAGGTTTCAGGCTTGAAAATGACATGCCCAGAACAAATGACTATATCTTCACTTCTAAAAGGGGTACATTAATAATCTTTTTTCTCAAAGCAATGATAAACCTGTGAGTTGGATGTAGAAAAGTCAGAATCAATATAGATGTTTTTATTTTAAAGTAAATTCAGATTGAACATTGTAAAAAACTGTAAATTATAGTTTCCGTCCAAAAAAAAACCATTACTTATAGTGAAAACCACCCATGAATGATGGGATAGTAGACTAAAAGCTTTAGGAATCCAAACTAAAACATATAATAAGTACCGTGTATCAAGATTGATGCAAAACAAGTGAAATTTGACCTTTTTAGGGAGATTTAGAAAAACAAAACCCACCTCTGGGGTCATTTGGGTATATTTGCCATATCTCTGGAACCTGTTGAGGTCTCCATATTAAGTTGAATAATTAAAACGAAAGTTAATATAATCAAATAATAATCAAATATAATCAAATATATTCTTGTATAACCCACAATGAAAATGCATTATATTTCATGTTGTTCTATAATCACAGTATTTACAAACACAAGGGGTTTGGTAAATTGAGTTTAAGGCCTATTATAGTTTATCACTATGTGTGTCACTGTTTAAAGAGGGGAGACAGTTGTCTTCATCACAGCAAGCTGTGCACAGGAGACCCCTGACTCAATGGAAAAGTACTGAAGCCCCAAAATGGGTTTAGGCCATAGGAGAATATGTCTGGACATGTCCAGTTCTGCACACCAGAGGCCATGACCTTTCCACACATATATGGGTATGAAGGTGTGTCTTTGGTTTTCTGTCCCTGTGTGCAGCATAAAAGCACCGGTTGAGAGGGAGAAAGCTCCAGAGCGGGGGTTGTCCTTGGTAAGTTCTCTGAAATTGACTTTGATTTTGAATGTATTGTTGAATGAACGTTTTAATGTGTTTTATATCACTGACCATTTATAAGGATATTCCTCTAAATTCTGTTGGAAGAATTTAAAAGGTACAATTTAAATGTCACAACTGAAGTGGGCCAGTTGAAGTTAGATTTAAATGTCACAACTGAAGTGGGCCAGTTGAAGTTAGAATTTAAATGTCACAACTGAAGTGGGCCAGTTGAGGTTAGAATTTAAATGTCACAACTGAAGTGGGCCAGTTGAGGTTAGAATTTAAATGTCACAACTGAAGTGGGCCAGTTGAAGTTAGAATTTAAATGTCACAACTGAAGTGGGCCAGTTGAAGTTAGAATTTAAATGTCACAACTGAAGTGGGCCAGTTGAGGTTATAATTTAAATGTCACAACTGAAGTGGGCCAGTTGAAGTCAGAATTTAAATGTCACAACTGAGGTGGGCCAGTTGAAGTTAGAATGTAATGTCACAACTGAAGTGGGCCAGTTGAAAATATAATTTAACGTAAGTAAAGTAAAACTGTGAATTGAGGTTTTATATTAGAAAAGGACCACAGCATGATATATTTGTATGATTGTCACATTGCAACGAGAGAAGGTAAAAACCCTGTAAAAGTGTGGACAATTTTCTTCAAATAAAATCATCCCACCTTTTTGGATTGGGAGAATTTAAAAGAAATCTGCGCTCTCCTCTCCTGCTTAAAGGTAAGATTGCACAACTGCCACACTCACACTTAGGCAGGGCCACACCTCATTACTGATACCAGAGTCCTTCGGGATCGCTTAAACAGATTTAGCGGGTCGTCTGAATTGAAACAGCAGTTAATTGAACCTGGTTCTTCAGGAGTTAGTAGAGGTGAGACCTTGCTGATCCAGGTGGATCCGAGCCTGGCAGTAAACTTACATAGACTCAATAACTTCTGTTAGGTCAATTAGTAGGGCTGAGTAATTGCCGGAATAAATTAACAGGCCTCCCGACTCCAACAAACCCATTGATCGATTTTGGTGATTGACACCTCTTTTGAACCGTTAGAGCCAATAGACTCGAGGGGGAGTTCCTAAATCCATCTAAACATTACCATTGAGGATTGAGAGCGATGCGCACGCAGTTTGCCCAAACCGAAAGCTATGTTACACTCTATAGAAAACTAAGCTTATTGCCATAAATATGATGATGGATTAACCTATGGATTAACCTTCAGCAGCGTTTTTCTCGTTTTAATGCCATTGAACAAAACTTTTGTTCAGAACAACAGCTAAGGTAAGACGTTTTTAGCCGTTTTGGCTCCGTAAAGCACATTTCTTTGTTGTTGTTTCTTGTAGTTTGGCCGCGAGTTCTAATCGCTCAGTGATGATACTTATATGTCTGGAATCTGTGGAATCTCAGCTTGCTAATCGATATCTTTTTTGTGCAGATCCGTTAAGTAATAAGGGTATTATACCTTGAGTTCTGTGCTAAGTGCAGGGGCGGACTGGGACTACAAATCAGCCCGGGACTCTCGACCGGCCCACTTCGGGACCGCTGGCCCACCTCGGTACCGCAAGTAAATTATCAACGGGGGGGGGGGGTGCTAGTGAGTTATCTGAGCGGCCCACCTCGGTGCCTCAAGTAAATACCGCGAGGAAATTGTCGACGGGGGGGGGGGGGGGGGGGGGGGGGTGCGGGGGGTACTAGTGACTTACCCGAGAGGCCCACATCGTCCGACCGGCCCACTTCAGTACCGGCCCATCGGGATTCGTCCCGAACGTCCCGATGGCCAGTCCGCCCCTGGCTAAGTGCGTTAGCATTTTTTCGCTCTGGGCTAATTCAGAGCCTTTGTTATTACCCTTGTGTTTCGTTTAGCTAAAAACGGTTAATATTGTCTGATAGCTGAGTTTCTTCCCGTTAAGTGGGTATGATACATTCATAGTTTGTTAAATATTAAGAAGCCCTCAGACGCTGTTTCTTGCAAGATGTTAAGTACCCCGTGGGGTTTAACTGGTTAAGCTTAAAGGTCACCTATCATGCTATTTTTAGGCAATAGCATAGGTCTCAGATATATACAAATATATAAAAAACATGTCTATTAAGTGTTTTGCGCAAAATAACAAACAGATCACCCATTCTAGCCATGCCTCATCCCTCTATTTCACTTCCTGTTTCAAAACTGCTGATTTTGGGTATAAAGCTTTTTAAAAAAAAAGAATTGATAAAAAAAGAGGGGCGGAGCTTATGCGGGACCCGGCAGCTACTGTCTAAACTAAATACTGCGGTGATGAAACGCCATATCATGGATTATCAAGGATTCTTTCTGAAACAGTATGAAGCTCAAAGGCTTTCTCTCTTGCCGGTTATACCACAAGGTGAGTTCCTTTTTATTTCCTGCTTCTTCACACACATGCTCTCCAGTACAGGTTAGCTCTGAGTGTTAGCGATGCTAATGTAAACACCGACCATATTACGTCCAAAACAGTCGGGCATTGTTTCTGATAGTGCTGTGGGTCTGCCTCCGATATTACGTCATATCGGACGCAAATCTGGATCAGCTCCGTTGTAACCCCGTTTTTAGAGATTTGGGTACGGAGGAAAAGAGAGAGGGTTTTATTTTCTGACGCTGCGTGAGTTCCCTGACACACTGGGGACACATATCTATGTATAAAATACATCAGAAAGTGCATTTTGCATGATAGGTCCCCTTTAACTTAGTCTTAACCTTAACTTAGTAACTTAACTTAGTCTTAACCTTAACTTAACTTAGTCTTAACAGTAACTTAGTCTTAACTTAGTCTTAACAGTTACTAAACTTAGTCTTAACCTTAACTTCACTTAACTTAGTCTTAACCTTAACTTAGTCTTAACAGTAACTTAAATTGGTCTTCACTTAGTCTTAACAGTAACTTAACTTAGTGAAAGTACGCAGCCGAAAAAAAGTCTGCCCCTTCCTTCAGACTTCCTTACAGAGCCCCTCCTCCAACACACACAAACGCACACATGACCAATGAGGGCACGAGATAAGTTTGTGCACAGATGGAAGGCTGACAGGCAGGTAGGCCATCCAGTTACTTTAGCCGGGCCGGCTCAGATGATTGGTCGTGCTTTTCACAGCGCCACGGCTTCCACAGATGACATTTTTTTATGTATTTATTGTCAAAGCATTTAAAGTATTCATTGCTATCGGGATGTTAAGAGCATTCCATGGAATATAACAAAAGGTGTTTCGGAAGTGAATTACCTACCCCACCTTTAACTTAGTCTTAACAGTAACTTAACTTTGTCTTAAAAGTGACTTAACTTAGTCTTAACAGTGACTTAACTTAGTCTTAACAGTAACTTAACTCAGTAACTTATCTTAGTCTTAACAGTAACTTAGTCTTAACAGTGAGTTAACTTGGTCTTAACTTAGTCTCAACAGTAACTTAACTTAGTCTTAACAGTTACTAAACGTAGTCTTAACCTTAACTTAACTTAGTCTTAACAGTAACTTAACTTGGTCTTAACAGTAACTTAACTTAGTCTTAACAGTAACTTAGTCTTAACAGTGAGTTAACTTGGTCTTAACTTAGTCTCAACAGTAACTTAACTTAATCTTAACAGTTACTAAACTTAGTCTTAACCTTAACTTAACTTAGTCTTAACAGTAACTTAACTTGGTCTTAACTTAGTCTTAACAGTAACTTAACTTGGTCTCAACAGTAACTTAACTTAGTCTTAACAGTGACTTAGTCTTAACAGTAACTTAGTCTTAACTTAGTGTTAACTTCACTACTGTAGTTAACAGAAGTTAAGACTAAGAGGAACGCTGTGACACGAAGGACTCACAGGAACTCAGATGCACGATTCAGTTTGACTTCAAAAATATCTTTTATTTTATAAAAGACTTTATCAAAGCAAAAGATTACTAGTATCAACTAGGATTCTAGACCTCTAGGTTCCACTAGGTTGTTCAACAGTTCACAAGAGTATACAGACATGGACCTGATGTGTAGACAAGACGAACCGACAAAAGACAAAAGGAGAGAAGGGCTATATATACACACACACACACACACACACACACACACACACACACACAATACTGTAAGTAATGGGGCACAGGTGGAAACAATCAGGAGCAGGAGACAACAATCAAGCTGGCAGGTGACACACAAAGACAGGAAGTGTAGACACCTGAAACGAGAGGGTAGAGTCAATACCAAAATAAAATGAAAGGTCACAAGAATAAACACAAAACAATAAACGAGAAGGACTCTAACGCTGAAACCTTACACGCTGGTTGTTTTTATTCTGTCTTCTGCACTGTGTCTTAAAAAATAAATGAAATTACAGTTTTTCTAACATAATGTAACTTTTGTTATTGTATTTACTTGCACTATTGTATCTGTGTTATTGTGTTGCTCTGTGGGAGGAGCCTGTGACCTCAGATTTTCATTGATATGTCTACACTGTAGCTATGTACACATGACAATAAAAGCCTTGAATCTAAAATAACCCCCCCCCCCCCCCCCCCCCCCCCCCCCCTCAGGTGATGACAGCATCCTGGAGCCTCTGAGTTTCCCGGAGCAGCCGCCTGATGCTCCCGGTGTCCCCGGTGAGGAGCTGCTGGTCTGTCTCTTCTGTCCCGAGTCAGAGAGACAGAAAGACGTCCTCCTCAAACACCTGCTGCTGGAGCACAAGCTGGTCATCGCAAACGTCAAACTCATCGCTGACCTCCCAAAGTACGAGTTCAAACACTCAGACCCTTCAGAGGCTGGGGAGGATTTCAAACTGGATTTAACTTTATTCAAAACACTTGTTATATTCTCAGAGGACGCACACCAGGGTCAGGAAGAGATGTATTTCAGACACAAGCCACTCCTTTTGTTGTCACACAAGAGGACACAACTAAGGACAAAAGAAAGCTCTTCCTTACTAATGAGGATGTAACCATTTGTATTTAAATCATCTGTTACTGTAACTCTCCAGGTAGATATTTGAGACATTATATTGACCATAATTAAAAGTGTGTTATTATTTCCTGTGTGATTCCCTCTCCTCCTCCCTTACAAATGTAATCCTTAGAATCAGTTTTGTCCCAATTTATTCCAGTTATATTTGGAATTACAAACTAGCAAAATATAGCTCACTTCACTTCTTAATTGTAGATTACATTTACCAAAATAAATGCAAGAAATAGTAAAGATATTGAGTTTAAAAATATTACTCTGCCCTGCTAACCATTGTTATCTAAATGACCTGTCGCTGTAGCTCTATAGATATATATTAGATAGACATTCACGTAGTTAAGACATTATAATACCCATAATGCCTGGAGCCGGTGAATTTCTGCAGCGTCATCAAAACCAACTCCACCGGCCCCATAGGTGAGGTCACTTTCAACACTCACTGCACTTCTTCTTGTGAAGGACGAACATTTAGAAACACCTGTCTGTCCTGCGTCAGACTCCACGTGGACAGACAGGAGATTTGAAGATACTGTGGCATCCATTCGATCTTCAAATGACTTCATCAATATATTCATCTGTCAGGAATTACATTTTCTGGACAAGCCACCAAAGACATGTTTTCCAGAGGTGACTTCATGACAGTATAGTATGATAGCAATGTTGCTTCATTCTAGTATTTCCTGAGTGGCTCGGTGTTCAGAAAATACTGAATGTACTCTTCCAATATGAGAGTAACATGCTAACAAAGGTATCCCAACTGTAGCTGTGTACATGACAGGATGTATGATTACCTCGAAGAGCATCAGGACTGTTTTAGGCATATGATAGCTATGTGATTAACTTGATGATTCCGCCTCTATGGAGATAGACATATGACAAGCATGATCATTTCTGACGTGGAGCTAATCTGAAGTAAACATTGAATACTGCTTTCTATTCCTCCATCTTGTGACTGTGTAACTCCCTCTCTTGGATATCAGCATGTGAAGGACACTGTTCAGGAACTAGTTGATGCTCTGTATGTGATGACTACTTCCATTCTGGAGAGGATCACAGATACATGGATCCTGAGATTGAAGATCAAGCCGGGAACGAGTGATTATTAACAATTTCAAGTATTCAGAAAAAGTCAGAACTTTGGGATTTCAGAGAAAAAGTCAGATTTTTGAGATTTTTCAGAAAAAGTCAGAATTTAGAGATTTCTGAGAAAAGTCAGAATTTTGAGAAAAAGTCAGATTTTTGAAAAACAGTCAGATCTTTGAGAAAAAGTCAGATTTTTGAGATTTTTAGAAGAAACCCAACAAATTCTCTTTTTTTCTTTTGACTACTTCCATTCTTGAGAGGATAATAAATACATGGATCCTGATGTTGAAGCTCAAGCCGGGGACGAGTGATATTTTTCTAACACTTGGTATCAAAACCCATTTGACTTCTTACTTTTATTCACGTGTAGACCCTGAGTCCCTGAGATGGTCAAAACTCTGAACCACTGTTCATGCACCCCTGATCTCCTACGATGTGAAAGCAACATTAGCTTGAAATTCGTAGCAAAAATCACTGAAACATGTTGTTCTCTGCTCAGAAAAACTGACATCTCTGTCATGTCTCATGTGTCGTTGTTACAGAGAAGCAGGAGGACTACTTCCTGCTGTGTGACGTCCTCCCAGAGGATCGAGTCCTCAGAGAGAAGCTGCAGCAGAAACGTCTGGTGAGGAAATGTCCGTCTATCTGGAAGACCTGATCTAAGCCTGAGGTTGGCAGGTCTTCTTCTGTGGTGTTTCTGACGGTGTGTCTCCTGCAGGAGGAGAGGGCAAAAGTACCAACATCCTTTACTCAAGTAGAAGTACAGATACTCGTGTTTAAAAATACTCTGGTAAAAGTAGAAGTACTGACTAAACTTCTTTACTCATGTAAAAGTAAAGAGGGCTTTGAAATGTACTTCAGTAAAAAGTACCCATAACTAGCAGCTGTTTTAAAGAGTACCTGACCTCCCTTTATATTAATAGAACAATAATGTCATTGTTAGCTAATGAATGTTTCCATGCTGAACAACGGCAACATGACAACGTTTTCATTGGTCCCTCTTCTTTAGAGAAGACCAGGAAATGATGGATACACGGATCGTGTTCAAATCAATAGGCACGCAATGACTCTAAATAATAATGATCACGCCACCAAACACACATTGAAACTAAAGGAACCAGCCTGTTTGGAAAATGTGAGAAGTAGAAAGTACAGGTATTTGGGTTCAACATGTAAGAAGTAGAAAGTACAGGTATTTGTGTTCAACATGTAAGAAGTAGAAAGTACAGGTATTTGTGTTCAACATGTAAGAAGTAGAAAGTACAGGTATTTGGGTTCAACATGTAAGAAGTAGAAAGTACAGGTATTTGTGTTCAAAATGTAAGAAGTAGAAAGTACAGGTATTTGTGTTCAAAATGTAAGAAGTAGAAAGTACAGGTATTTGTGTTCAACATGTAAGAAGTAGAAAGTACAGGTATCTGTGTTCAACATGTGAGAAGTAGAAAGTACAGGTATTTGTGTTCAACATGTAAGAAGTAGAAAGTACAGGTATTTGGGTTCAACATGTAAGAAGTAGAAAGTACAGGTATTTGTGTTCAACATGTAAGAAGTAGAAAGTACAGGTATTTGTGTTCAACATGTAAGAAGTAGAAAGTACAGGTATTTGTGTTCAAAGTGTAAGAAGTAGAAAGTACAGGTATTTGTGTTCAACATGTAAGAAGTAGAAAGTACAGGTATTTGTGTTCAACATGTAAGAAGTAGAAAGTACAGGTATTTGTGTTCAACATGTAAGAAGTAGAAAGTACAGGTATTTGGGTTCAAAATGTAAGAAGTAGAAAGTACAGGTATTTGTGTTCAAAATGTGAGAAGTAGAAAGTACAGGTATTTGGGTTCAACATGTAAGAAGTAGAAAGTACAGGTATTTGTGTTCAACATGTAAGAAGTAGAAAGTACAGGTATTTGGGTTCAACATGTAAGAAGTAGAAAGTACAGGTATTTGGGTTCAACATGTAAGAAGTAGAAAGTACAGGTATTTGTGTTCAACATGTAAGAAGTAGAAAGTACAGGTATTTGGGTTCAACATGTAAGAAGTAGAAAGTACAGGTATTTGGGTTCAACATGTAAGAAGTAGAAAGTACAGGTATTTGGGTTCAACATGTAAGAAGTAGAAAGTACAGGTATTTGTGTTCAAAATGTAAGAAGTCAAAGTAAAAAGTCGTCAGAAAAATAAGTAGTGGAGTAAAGTACTGATACCAGAAACATGTACTTAAGTACAGTAACAAAGTATTTGTACTCCACTCCTTCCCCCTCTGCCTGCCCATTACATGTGAAATGTTAAGAAGCTCAATGGACAGATGCAGGAATGAGTGCTAATCTTTAAAAACATCTCACAGATAAATAGTTGAAATCAAGCTGCATCCTGTCTGTGTGTCAGATCGTCTCTGCTGAACCACATGGCCAGAGAACACTCGTTCAGCATCGGTCTGCCCGACAACATCGTTTACTGCAACCAGTTCCTGGACGCGCTGCAGAGGAAGCTGGACAAGTGAGAGACCTTCAATCCATTCATGAAAACTATAGATCAGAGGTGTCCAAACTACGGCCCGGGGGCCAAATGCGGCCCGTGGACCAATTTGAATCGGCCCTCAGCCAATTAAAAAAATCGAATGCAGTCTGGCCCTCAAATGAAACTTGTGCTTGTCTTTTACTTCTTAAATATAAATGTAAACATATATGACTCAGTAGTATTCATGTGTTAATGAACCCACTTTGCAAATAAATGCAGTCAATTAAAGGTGAAAACATTTTCTAACAAATCTAAGTTGATAAGAAAATAGTTCAATAATTTATTTCCATAACAAGCTTGAAATAAACTTTCATATTTCCTCTTATCAGCAATCTGGAGCTTCTGTTTTAGGGAATGAGCTGCCAACAAGATGAAGTAAACCCTCTGGAGAGCTGGGATGTACGCTGATTAAGAATCATTTACTTATATTTGATTGATTTTGCCGACTTATAACTGAACTGATGAGGCAGTATACATCACCTCTAGTGAGCGGCCCAGCCCTTCATGTGTTTTTCTGTATGTGGCCCTCGATGAAAAGAGCTCTGACCCCCTGATATAGAGCCTTAATAGGTATTAAAATATCATAGATCTCCCTTACAGAAAGTCTTAGAAATTACAAGTCGTGGGAAGCAGGATTTTATTAATAATTTACCAAAATAATGATTTAAATCTTTAACAAATTAAATAGAAATGCCTCTCAGACCCGTACACAGGTAGAGATAACACAACACACACATTATGCATCTAAACTGAGGTGCTCTAAAACATCCTCTTAAATCTAACCTGCCTCGAGTGAACACAGTGTTATTATAATGTGTGTGTGTGTGTGTGTGTGTGTGTGTGTGTGTGTGTGTGTGTGTGGTGTGTGTGTGTGTGTGTGTGTGTGTGTGTGTGTGTGTGTGTGTGTGTGTGTGTGTGTGTGTGTGTGTGTGTGTGTGTGTGTGTGTGTGTGTGTGTGTAGATCTGCGTTTCTACGACCAGGTGAAGCTGGTGAACTTCCTCCGCCGTCAGCTCCATCAGAGCCGCTGCTACGGCTGCCAGGAAACGTTCAGCTGCAGAGGCGGGACATGTGATGCAGCTTCCTCACAAGTCCACCTGGAACCAGCCTCAGTGAGTAGCCTCTCTACTTTAAAGAGTCCTCTCCTGCTGATGTTCAGGTGTATATCAGTATGTAGTGTCTCTACTTTAAAGAGTCCTCTCCTGCTGATGTTCAGGTGTATATCAGTGTCTAGTGTCTCTACTTTAAAGAGTCCTCTCCTGCTGATGTTCAGGTGTATATCAGTATGTAGTGTCTCTACTTTAAAGAGTCCTCTCCTGCTGATGTTCAGGTGTATATCAGTATGTAGTGTCTCTACTTTAAAGAGTCCTCTCCTGCTGATGTTCAGGTGTATATCAGTATGTAGTGTCTCTACTTTAAAGAGTCCTCTCCTGTTGATGTTCAGGTGTATATCAGTATGTAGTGTCTCTACTTTAAAGAGTCCTCTCCTGCTGATGTTCAGGTGTATATCAGTATGTAGTGTCTCTACTTTAAAGAGTCCTCTCCTGCTGATGTTCAGGTGTATATCAGTATGTAGTGTCTCTACTTTAAAGAGTCCTCTCCTGCTGATGTTCAGGTGTATATCAGTATGTAGTGTCTCTACTTTAAAGAGTCCTCTCCTGCTGATGTTCAGGTGTATATCAGTATGTAGTGTCTCTACTTTAAAGAGTCCTCTCCTGCTGATGTTCAGGTGTATATCAGTATGTAGTGTCTCTACTTTAAAGAGTCCTCTCTCCTCAGGTATTACTTCGCCACGTATGAGAACGACGCCCTCCTCTGCACGCTGTCTGATGGCGATGAAGACGAGCGTAACGTCAGCGAAGATGTCCCGGTGATCTCAGAGGACGTTTCCAACCTTCGAGCTTTGAAACAGAACTCCGTCCTCAAATCGCTGCTGAAGAGCCGAGGGTCCTGCAGGTAGAAGACTTCCTGTTCCTGGACGACTCTTCCTCCTCCTCATCCTCTGTAAATAAACTCTAATAATCAAAGCCATTCTGCTTCCCTGAACACTTCAAAACTCTATTTTCAGAAGTGAAGTTCAACCTTTTTCCAGCAGGGGGCGTCACACTCAAATCCCACAAGAGCTTGCAAAGAATATACAATAGTGGAATATTTGCTTTGAATGATTTGCCCCAGCCTTCTGCTTTCAGACGTAGTTCATTATGAAGTTACCAGAACTGATAATAATCCAATGCAGAGCCAATAATATAAGACATTATTTAATATATATATTTATGTATTTTTATATATTCTTAAAGTTACAACCGGCCCTTTGAGTGCAACCTTAATGCTGATGTGGCCCACCATGAAATTGAGTTGAACCCCCTGCTCTACAGGATGCACACGTCTGTCCACGCCACAGAGGAACATTTAGACTCTGCTTCTTTTGATTATAAAGTTTATAACTTCATGTGAAAATGCTTTGAGATCAGAATGCAATAAAGTAGGTCGCTCTCTCTCAGAAGTGCAAACTCATCTGGAGTCGATTTAGACCCTGGAAATGAGTCAGGGTTGAAACTTAACGTACCTGTTTACATCAAAACAAGGGAAATGATTGATAACATATAAGATATTGATCAGTAATAACACGCTGGAAGAATGCATGAACAATCCTACATTGACACGTGTGTATGTACTAAAGTATGATGAGCAAAATGTCCTTAAAGTATTTAATGTAAAAGTACCAAATGCAGAAAAATCAACAAGAAAAACACCCGCAGACTCAAAACAATCCCTAGTTTATTAATTAAAGTGAAAATAGTACATCTGTGCAAACTCATGACCCAATTAAGACCCTTCAAATTGACATTGTCAAACTTAACGTGCGGTTAATGAAAAATCTCGTCTCAATTTAGAACTGTTTTGTAAATTTGCTGCATGATTGTAAGTCTCCGGACCCTCAAAGGGACTCTTTAAAGTAACTCTTTAAAGTAACCACACCCTGAGCGGAACCACAGGAACAAACCGCATCTCTCTCTCTGCTAAATATGAAATCAAAGTTGTTTATCTACTTCACAGTGTTGTTGTTTTTTGTCTCTCTCTCTCTCTCTCTCTCTCTCTCTCTCTCTCTCTCTCTCTCTCTCTCTCTCTCTCTTAAATAAAGAGAGAGGACTCTTTAAAGTAGAGACACTACATACTGATATACACCTGAACATCAGCAGGAGAGGACTCTTTAAAGTAGAGACACTACATACTGATATACACCTGAACATCAGCAGGAGAGGACTCTTTAAAGTAGAGACACTACATACTGATATACACCTGAACATCAGCAGGAGAGGACTCTTTAAAGTAGAGACACTACATACTGATATACACCTGAACATCAGCAGGAGAGGACTCTTTAAAGTAGAGACACTACATACTGATATACACCTGAACATCAGCAGGAGAGGACTCTTTAAAGTAGAGACACTACATACTGATATACACCTGAACATCAGCAGGAGAGGACTCTTTAAAGTAGAGACACTACATACTGATATACACCTGAACATCAACAGGAGAGGACTCTTTAAAGTAGAGACACTACATACTGATATACACCTGAACATCAGCAGGAGAGGACTCTTTAAAGTAGAGACACTACATACTGATATACACCTGAACATCAGCAGGAGAGGACTCTTTAAAGTAGAGACACTACATACTGATATACACCTGAACATCAGCAGGAGAGGACTCTTTAAAGTAGAGACACTACATACTGATATACACCTGAACATCAGCAGGAGAGGACTCTTTAAAGTAGAGACACTACATACTGATATACACCTGAACATCAGCAGGAGAGGACTCTTTAAAGTAGAGACACTACATACTGATATACACCTGAACATCAGCAGGAGAGGACTCTTTAAAGTAGAGACACTACATACTGATATACACCTGAACATCAGCAGGAGAGGACTCTTTAAAGTAGAGACACTACATACTGATATACACCTGAACATCAGCAGGAGAGTCCTCTAACCCTGTCTGTGTCTCCTTACGGCCGCGTTACGGCTGCGGTGGAATGGAGGACCCGGTGGAATCGAGGGGTAACACTGACCTGACCTGTGTTTCATTCGAGGGTCAGTTAGCAGCATCTAGTGGACAGCTAGCAGAACTATCTATGTTTCTATGTTTCATGTTTTCTGTAGATGTTTAATTGCTCTTTTTACTGCACTTTTAGTGTACAGTTGTGCTGCTGTGTTTATTGTATTTGTGTTACTCTGGCACAACAATTCCCTTCGGGATGAATAAAGTCTTATCTTATCTTAACTACACCCCCTCTCACACTGACTGGGCTCAGTCACTCTGAAGTGAATCTTTGCAGTCCTGAGAACCACTCAGTTTAGAAACAGAGTATTTATCAGCAAAGGCATGTGGGTGAATAAAACAGATATAATGACAGTCAGTGCTGAAGACATAGACCTCACTCTCATATCATACGTTTCTCTTTGTGTACAAGTTCCTCCTGAGTGGGAAACTACTGCAGCACTTCAACCCCCCCATTTCCTCTGAGACTCAGAGCGGAAGTACCGAGTTCCTCTTTCACGGAAGTCACATCTGACAGTTGGTGTTCAAACTGTTGAATAAAAGGAGATATAAGGGAATAGCAGGCAGAACCAGGACTGAGGAGGACGAGATCAGCCGTGTTTCTGTGGACCTGAAGAGAGCTCAGCAGGTGAGGACCCTCCCACAGGAGTCTGTTACAACAATGAAAGACATTAAGAGCATTAAGAAATAGTGCAGTGGAAACACATTATAAAATAGCATTTAAAAACAGTCATTAAAAAGCAAAGAGAATTAAATAAACATAAAACAAGCTAATATAGAACAACACAGGTATAAATACATGAATAACAGTTACAGTGCAGTGTGAGATATGAATAGTTCAATTAAAGGGAAAGTCTTCAGCCTGGATTTAAAAGGGTGTGTGTGTGTGTGTGTGTGTGTGTGTGTGTGTGTGTGTGTGTGTGTGTGTGTGTGTGTGTGTGTGTGCATGCGTGCGTGCGTGCGTGCGTGCGTGCGTGCGTGCGTGCGTGCGTGCGTGCGTGCGTGCTTGCGTGTGTGCGTGCGTGTCCTGTCAGACTGAGAGGCTCAGTTATCAGTGGTTTGGTCACCATTTAGGTAAAGAAGTATTTCCAAGGTACACTTTTATATAATTATTATAGTTATACAAAAATTACAGAATAAATAATAACAGGTATGAAATACTACTGGACAGAAAACCAAACATACAGTTTTAGAGAGAGAGAGAGAGAGAGAGAGAGAGAGAGAGAGAGAGAGAGAGAGAGAGAGAGAGAGAGAGAGAGAGAGAGAGAGAGAGAGAGAGAGAGAGAGAGAGAGAGAGAGAGAGAGAGAGAGAGAGAGAGAGACACACACACACACACTCTGAGATTCAGGAGCCCAAACACACTCACAACTTTAAATAAACAAGTTTACATTATGTGTTATTGGCTTTGCTATGTTATTGGTTGTGGTCATATTCTAATGGTTTCTTGACTGTTGAAATATATACAGTTCTGTTTCATATGGGTCTTGAGAGATGTCTCCAAAGATCTCTTAATGTTGCTGCCTGTCCAGGTAAGTTGTTGAGGCACTCATCATGCTCAGATTTGTAAAACATTGCACAGACGTCAGGAATGGTAAAAGTTCTGAGGTCCTGTAGTGAATGCATTCTGACATGACCAGCAGGCTCTCTAGCGCCACGAGGCCACACAAGAGGGCCACACAACTCGCACCAAAAGTCTGATTGACTTGAAATGTGGTCCACACATTGAGCTGAAGACGCTTTACAAAAAGAACTACCAGGCTCCGCCCACTCAGATGTGTTGCTCATTAGCATAATGTGAAAGCAGTTTAATGACTACAAACTTTTCCATTTTGAATCTCTCAACACAATACTTTCTATAAAACATCCGGGGACAGTCATACACATTACTCTTCAAAATGAGCAAGATCAGTCAAAAAACATGGCCACCATAAATCGAAATGGAAATAAATGCTCATGCCTCATTGGATATGCTCAAACTTGATACCGACCCAGAGGGGCCGCTAAGATCAACACAAATGTGTAACTTTCTAACAGAAATTAAGAAAATGATAAATACATGCTCTGGGGGCGAGTATTAAATAAGATCTCATGTATCGTGGTGATTTAATAATGTGGGCGTGACCTATGACGTTTTCTTAATTTACCATGATCTAGAACAGGGGTGGGGAACCTTTTTCCTCTCAAGGGCCATTTCAATTTTTTCAATATCCTCTGAGGGCCGTACAAATTATTGACCTCTGCTTAAAAATACTAAAATCACAGCCCATTCATTTGGCCTTTCTTTCATGCTGTGCAAAGAAAAAGCAACCTCTTAATCCAGATATCTTATCATGACTCGCACATGCATGCACGTGCACGGTTGTGGCATGACCCCCAAAACAGAAAGATATGGACACAAGATGTGTGCAAATGTATTTAGTTTCCTATCCATGTGGACATGATTTAAGTGTTGCAACACACTCTCACTCCATAAACGTCCAGGAGCGACGCTTGGTCAGGGTCCCGAGGCGTGCAGTTGGGATGCTCTTAGGCTCCTTCAGCTTCATAAACAGACGCAAATAGCTTTCAACTGATTGCAATGTATTCCCATCTGCGGCGGGATTTGACGCTCATGGAAGCACGGCATTCGTTTGTGTCGGCGGCTGTTAAAGGCAATGTGAGCGTCCATTCCCATTGGATAACGGAGAATTGTACACCCGGAAGTAAGTATTCCCCTTACTGTCGATTGATTTGACAGTGATATCTGCACTACTCATCAACTCAAAAACACCAGATTATCCTTGTTAATTACACAACATTGATTGGTTTAAATTGTGTGCAATGCTTTTGTGTGTTTCCCCTTTGATTCGGAGAAACAAATATTTTTTGTTTAGGATGGCAGAAGACACTACACTACTGTTAGAAGTATTCGTTGTTCTCGCGCCCAGGAGAGAAGCTTAGAATGAAGAGACTAATGGGGTCTCCGGAAAGGTTCAAATTGGTTGAGTTTAATTAAATGGCACGATGATACAATAAGCAGAGGGTAAGAGGAGAGACAGAGCAGCTGTTGCCTCGCCGGGGTGAAGGGGTGAAGTCCCGTCGTGAAGAAGAAAAAGTGCTCTCCAGAGCTCCCTCACCTCTCTCTATATCTCAGTCATGACCCCTCCTCATCAATGGTGGGCGGTG